GTAGAATTTGTTTATTTTTTCTTTGATTTGTTTCCTAAAAAGAAGAAAAATAAAGACGGACATCTTTATTTAACCTAAATCTGTCATTACATTTATTTAATTTTAGTTATATAATTCATATACATAATTTGATTTAATAATAACCCAATTTGAAGCAAAAACAGAATGTTCTGTTCTGACTAACTTTGTGAAATTATACTACAAGCCTGAACGAAGCAAACAGCAGAAGCTCTGAATGAGACACATTCACAATGACAGCAGGAGGCGCTTCTCAAACACCACATACGGCGTTTCCTTGGTTACCGCCGTAAACAAAGCAACACTGCGCTGAATTACTGCGAGGACTGGATTAATCGCTGGGCTACATCATGCGTCATTCACTGGTGAGAAAACTTTAAAAGTACTACAATACCAGGAATGAAGATCGGGTTGTTGATGTTTGCCTGCCATACTTGCTCTGTCTGCACAGCGTGCGTGAACGCGCTGATGACGTGTCCTGTCTGCGCGAACCGGGTGCGCAGAGGTATGCAGATACATAAGTTGACAGGCAGGTAGGAAAGCTTATTAAAACGCTCGGACCGAGCGTTTTGATTGGACAAACATTTCTTGGTCCTACGCCTTCCACAAAATATATAAATACAGATGAATACATTTAGACCACTTAACTTAATGATTGCTATCGGGATGTGAAGAGACTTTCAACCAGCATAACAAAAAATGTTTCTGAAGACAATCACCTATTACACCTTTAATATGAACTATACAGAGACGAGATTAAAAGAATATACCACGTAAACTTTTCTGAAGACAGTCAGTCCCCCTCAAAAACACATTCATATAAACCCCCAAATCAATATTGAGGATTTTCTTCCAATAGTTTGTGCATCATGAACAGTGAGTGATCTGCCTGCTACAGTATTTTTCTCTGTGCGTCCGTCTTCAACGTCTCTGGCCTGTGTTAACGGGCGTTTACAGACTTCATATTTTCACATAAATGACATTTTGGAAAACGATTGCATTGCAACGCAGTTTGCAAGTCCAGAACAGAGACGAGTTGCTTGCAATTAGACAAAAAATGGCCAGTTGCCGATCGCGTGAGTTCCGGGGGAAGCAACCATAAGCCAACAGGAGGAGAAGGGTCGTGTTACTCTCTACACTGCACTGAACCTGAGGGATTCCTACACTTTAAGTCTTTGAGGAGACATGAAAAACAGCGCATACCGCATACAGCTCAATCTAATCTAGTCTTATTAACTCACTGTCATTCATTGTCTGCAGTATTTCTTCTCCCTGTTCATATTTTGGCCATTTTCTCCTCCGCTAAAGAAACTCTTAAGCATCTTAAAAGTCCTACTCCTAACTCTTTTTGACCTTAAGAGCTCTTTTAAGGGTTAAGATGCTTTTGGAATAACTTTTACCTTTACTAGGATCTTCTCTTTAAATTTAAGGTGAAACACCTACTTTTCTAAGAATTTTCTTACTATGAGCAACTCTCTGTACTAAGAATTTTCATGAATAATTTTCATGGATGCATCTCTATTCCCTTGTGATCCCACCAGAGTATGTGAGCGGAGCGGCGTGATTTTGCCTGGAGCGGATTTTTTGAAAGTTGGAGCGTTGAGGTTTTCACTCGCTCTGCTACCACCAGAGCATGTGAGCGGAGCGGAGCGTGAGCGGAGTGGGAGCGGAGTGGTAATATTTCCTTAAGAGCGCAGCTGTAAGTTGTACAGTTTGTTAATCTCCGCTCGAAACTAATATGCTGCTACATTGCTGCACACTGACAGAACACACAAGCTTGCACATAACGTACAGACGCGCGCATACATTTAGGAATGAAGAAAATTTGGTCAACGCTGTCCTGTGATTTATCAGCTTAAAAACGTTAAAGTTACAGCATATTCTTTCTGTTTCTGAAGTAACTACCCTCAGCTTCGCCATAGTAGAGAGACGTTGCACAGACAATTAAGCTAAGCGAGTCATTTAATATGGACTTGGGCTAATTGTAGTGTTCAAATAAACCATGTTAAAACTATTCTTCTAGTATTATCCATTTATTTCTCGTTTAATATAATTTCTGAACAGAACTTAGATTTTTCAAGCATAGGAGAAGGGTCTGGCTGCAGCCTCGCACTTGCACTCTCAGGCTTGCACTCTCAGACACTTGCGCTTCCGCTAGCGACGTCACTTGCAGTCTTTATTTTTTATTTTGTTCTATTTTTTATTACTTTTTTTTTAATCTCTCAACATTTTACAACAGTAGCCAGGTGGTGAAGACAAGAAAAAAAACTAAATTACAATGTCACTTGCAATCGCCACTTGCAGTCTCCGCTACCTGCGACGTCACATGCAATCGACACAAATCGTGAGTGTTGCCAATGAAGACAAGACGCTGTGGTGGTGATTAAACGATTAAAGGGGTCATATGATGCTTTTTAAAAGATCATTATTTTGTGCATTTGGTGTAACAGAATATGTTGACATGCTTTAATGTTCAAAAAACACATACATTTTTAAATACTGTACATTATTGTAGGTCCTATATCCCCCGCCTCTCTCAAACGCTTCGTTTTCTACAAAGTCCCTCCTTCCGACAAGCGCAGTCTGCTCTGATTGGCCAGCTGACCCAGTGCATTGTAATTGGCCGTACACCGCAAGCACTCCTCGGAAATGTAACGCCCCTTACCATAATCGCGAGCTTCAATTTTCAAAATAAATTCAAAGACAGTAAATAATGTCATTAGTTTTACCATCAGTTCAAGTCCGAAAGGGGAACAGAGTCATGTGACAGACACAGTAATGATGCAGTACACAACCGGTTAAGACAGCTGACTCTACTGTGATGTGACACGGTCTCTCTCTCTCGCACGCACACACGCACGCACGCACAATGCCCAATGCCCAAAACTCCGCATTTGAACAGTCAATAGCGAATACTTAAACTAATAACAAAACCGTAGCTGATTCAGAAGCGCCAGATTGTCATAGCAAAGTCAGAATGACCTCCTCTCCTAGGTTCACGAAACGGTCGTCCATAAAATGCATTGCTGTTCTGTTGTAAGTCATCTTAAAGATTCCTAAATGCATCTACTTCCGGAAGGCCAA